TTTTTTTTATACTAAAACCTTAGATATTTACGTTTCATTTGATATCATTTTTTTGAAAATCTATCACTTAACCTGCTCATTAGGGGGGATTTAAAATGGCAACTTTTTTACAAAAATTAATTTTTTCAACTTAATTTTTGAAAATGTTTCGGAAAGACTGCTTCTTTTAAACATATATCAAATTAAAGCTTATTTTATGTTCTAGAAAATGAAAAAAAAAAATTTGTCCCGACACTTTTTTTCTACATTTAAACGGCTGCCGTAGTTAAAAAAACACTATTTTTGTGTTAAAATTTTCGATTTTCGATTTTAAATTTTCAACTTAAAAATGCTATAACTTTTTGAAAAATGTATATATCAGCACAAATTTTTTTTTTCTAAATACATTATAAGTACATCTTTCATTTGACATACTTTTTATTAAAATTGGACAATTTCCCCTTATATAGGGGGCGTTCAAAACTTAAAATATTGTAAAAAACATAGATCTTTTTCAACTGAACTTTTGAAAATGTTCCGGAAATACTGCGTCCTTTAAACATATATCAAATCAAAGGTTATGTTATATACTATCAAATGAAAAAAAAAAATTTGTCCCGACATCTTATCTTCTATGTGCAAATGGCTGTCGAAAATTTAAAAAAAAATGTAATGTTTGCGATAAAAATTACATTTTATCGGGATGTTTTTTGTACTTAAAACTGCCATAACTTTTTCAAAAATGAACAAATAAAAATAATATTTTTTTGTATTGAAACCTTAGATATTTCCCTTTCATTTGATATAATTTTTTTTGAAAATCTAACACTTATTCTGCTCACTGGGAGGATTTAAAATAGTAACTTTTTTACAAAAAATAACTTTTTCAACTTAATTTTTGAAAATGTTCCGGAAATACTGCGTCCTTTAAACATATATAAAATTAAAGCTTATTTTATGTACTACAAAATGAAAAAAAAAAATTTGTCCCGACGATCTATCTTCTATACGCAAATGGCTACCATATTGAAAAATATACTATTTTTGTATGATAATTATGGGTTTTGTATTTTATTTTAATAGAAGTTGATGTTGCTTTTGCAATTATCCATCAATTTTTTAAAATTAAACACTATCTACAGATTTGCATCGAAGCGTTTCTTATGATAGTGATTTTAATCACTGTCAGATTAAATCTATACTGGACCCTACTATGCAATGTCTCCACTATGCCGCGACCCCACTGTGCTACCGTTTTTCAATTTATACTTTATTTCAATCCGTATGTCCTTTATTAATAATTATATCATAATAGATATTTTCAATTTGTCTTTCATTGTATACAAAACCAAGTTCTGTGTATTTTGTTTCTATAATCTGATCAATAAAATCATCAAAATATTCCATAAGAAAGCTGATACGATCAGAATATGTGCCCATATCTCTGTCTCCCATAACATCGTTGTACCGGTTAATAGACATATATTATACAGGGTGTTCACTGTATATAATTAACACAGTGACATACAACAATACTAACAGGAGGGCGGACTGCACACATAAACACTTTTTGCAATTCACGGCCAATGTGCCACAATAAGATATCCCTATCGACAGTTGACATTTTACCATCTTCGCGATCACTACTTTTGCCTGATAATTAACTTAACTTTGCTACTCCGTATATTGTGTGTGTCGCCGTCAGCTCCCTGTTGGATTATATCATCTCTAGGTGTATTATCTATTTAATATTTCAATTGCTTAATAAATATTTATTTATATCGTTGTTAACCTAAAGTGTTATATATATATATATATATTGTAGTGCGACCCTTGGTAGTTCCTCTAAGGGAATATAAATTAAATAGGAAACTTCAGTACCTAAGGTAGATATAGCCTAGCCAGCTATCCCCCGTTGGTCCCTTAGAATACTGTCGACGGGCATTTAGGCTAAACCCCTAAATAGCGACGTAACAAAGCTTAAATAACATTGTGTAATTCCTTTTTTTTCTTTTAATTTTTCGAAATATTTGTTGTAATCATTTTTAAAGAGTTTATTTTTATCTGGTATATCGACGTTATAACTACACAACAGAGAATAGAAATCTTTGTTAAACTTGAGTATAGAATTCAAAAATAGATCAAGTTCATATTTTTTATCAACAATAACATTGTTTACTTTTTCGAATAATTCGTCAAACTTCTCAAACATCGATATCATTATATGATTTGCTTCAATCGCTGACAAAAGTTTGATAAACTTTAATGCACTTAGAAAATATTTTACCAATTTCTTGAATTTTGTGAAGTTCGACTTTACCGTTATTACACATTTTTCAAACAATTCATCTGACTCATCACTTTTTACCTTTTGCAGATATTTTTGTTTTTCTAAGAACGTTTTTATCAAATAATGACAAAGGGAAAGGTGCGAGTTCAAATTGAAGATATTACAAAAGTTCTTCATCACTTTTTTTAAAAATAATGATTCGTTGAAATAGTAGAAATGGGTTTAATTATTTAATTATTTAATTATTTAATTATTAATTTTAACACCAGAATTTATTACATCCAAGATATAGGGTTAAGGGTTATACCTCTGTCCGATATGATTAACAATGTTTGATTTTTTTAGTATTTCATTGCTTTTTTAGTTATATGGCCATAAACATTGTCAAAACGATTTATTTTTAAGTTAAGACTTAAGTTTCAATGCATAATTGAGAAAGTATTTACTATGATGGGCATTTTTTCATGCTTATCCATGAAAATTCTGAACTCTTACTGGACTGATTTTTATGATTAATACGTCAAAAGAACCCGATTTGAATATACTGTTGAAAAAAAATCCCTTAATTTCATAAATATAGAAAAATATCTCAAAATTACATTGCTGTAAAAAATAGAATTTTTCAATTTTTTTCTGCATTTAATAACTGCTATAACTTTTTATTTAAATATTTACACGGCTCTTAATTGTGTTAAGAATTCAAAAAACTTGAATTAAGGTTAAACTTTGCTGAATTACAATATTAATAATGCTACGCCAATTGCTTTACATTTTTATGCTATGTTCAACAACATTAATGTGCCTATAACTGTTGACACGGGATCTAATATTAGTTGTATTACGCACACACAACTCTGAACGTATTTTTGACAGTTTATTTGAAAAATATAAAGTCTTAGTCTTTCAACGCAAGGAGCATGTTTGGTACAGAACTCCTGTAGCAAAGATCTAGTAGACCAGTTGTTACAAACATTGTTGATTATATCACATCGCGTGAGAGCTGATCTCTAGCGTCTTACTTTACTCGTCTCTATTTTTCCACAACTAGCCGTCTTACGGTTTATATGCTTCGTACAAAACAGTCTACATGATGAAAATGGCTACCATAATAAAATATATTCTATATTTTTTGTGTAAAATTCTCGATTTTATGAAATTGATATTTAATAATTTAGTATTATAATTATTAGAGAGAAATTTTGAAATAGTTATTACTTAAATGGCAAACGTGTATAATTATTTCCTGCTGTTTAGCATGAAATTCATTACGTCAAATACTAATTAAGACTATTTGAATATATCATTAAATAGCTGATTAAATTTCACATACAACTAAATGATAAAATGCGGTCGTCGCCCTTAATAAGCCGAGTTGATAGGGTGGTCTATGTGATTTGGCGCGCATTATTGTCACTACAAGTCGACAGTAATTTGGATTTTTAAAGATGATCTGAGAGGAGTCCAGGTAGACCAGTTAAGGTGTGCTTTCATGGAACGGACTGTCGCCTCCCAAGGTCCACTGAAGTGGGGCGCAGATACAAAGTAAGATTAACAATTAGTCCTAAATCTATGTAAATATTAAGGTTCGACAATTAACTTTATTCATTCATTAGATATAAAACTTTAAATATTTTGGGTTAATATACATATATAATACACGAGAAATTGCAACTACAAGTAACTCGTTGATTTTTATCACGACACTATACAGAGCTATAAGGATCGATAGTCTTCATCAATAGATATGCTTTCTGTATTGCTAATTAGTAAAAGACTATCCCATTTTCCCAGCATCTTTCCATAGTCACAACTAGAATAAAACTTTAGGGGTTTTTATTATTTTTTCACATCAAAAAATATGTTTATATAAGAACACATATATATTTTACATTTATTGTAAGGTACCTTAGCATATAGTTGTGCATTTATAACTAAATGTAATAGGTTTTTGGAATATACTTCACTTCACACTACAATAATCATATATCATTTGCATTTTTACTCACAAAAAAAAAATTGAATACGTAAAGTATAATGTACAAGAAATTAAATGTTAAATAATAAAAAAAAAAATGAACAATAATTGATATAAAAATTATTTGACTATTTGATTTAAAAAAATATATATGTTCTTAGATTAAAGGATACCTCTAAAATTATCACTATTCAGTTGCCTATTGTATAATAATTAAAAATAAAATTATTGTGAATGTATCAATTTATTTAAGATACATCGAACAAATGACTTTTTCATAGCAAATGTTAAAACTCGTACATGCGACGTATCTTTCTGAAAATGTTAGCATAGTACAGCCAGTTTTTTTTTACATTTGCAAATTCATAGTGCGTACTAGTGACATAACTGTCTCGATATATCTAACTATGTACAGCCCACTATTTTTATATTATAATATTAAAGTCGTCATTTGTTTCGAAAGTGTAACATATATTATAACAAACTTTCATATATTAATATGACTCTTTATAGGCAGTTCTCAAAATCAAATATATATATACTATTTATCACTTTTTTTATCTAATACATCAAATCTCGAATATAATGTATATACTAAATATTTTTTTGTGGAGGATAAAAAGTCAATGTAGTCTAAACTGAAGTGAATTATATTTTTAAAAAAATGAAATAGTTAGTTGTATAAGCGCAACTAAAAGATATGTGATGTTGACCTCACAAAAAATGTAGGAAATATATACATAAATTATGAATATGTTCTTAAATAAAAATATTTTTTAGGCTTAGAAAAAAATAATAACACTCACTGAAATTTCATTCTAGATATGTCTATAGAAAATCTAAATTCATTAAATACTTCATTAAATCGTAATCAAATCGTACATTTCTGATAAATTCACTGTAAATATTGTAAAATTATAAGTATTGTACAATTTCCTAACTGCATATTAATCTTAACAATATAATATTTTTAATTCTCATAAATTTTCTATTTAATGATATCAATTTAAAACTTGTAAGTTAAACTAAAAGTTATGGTAACAAATTCAACTTTTTTTATTATAAACTTTCACAAGAAACCAAAAAAATAGGTTAAAAATGATATTTTGCTATAATTATTTTCAACATATTAATAATCAAAATCAGTAATAATTTTAATCCAATTTTTTTTGCTTGTTTTAATTATTTCTTTATATGTAAATACTCATTTTTTAAAAATTGACCAGATTGCTATGGTTATTGTAAATCAGTTATAAAAAGTTAATTTAAGTTTACCCATAGTAGTATTTTTTTAATTAAATTGTGTTACTTATAAAAAAAATTATCATGAAGTTTGATAATAAATTAAATGAAGTTGCCGACTACATTCGTTCTGAATATCCTGATTTAGAATATTCAAAAGTAACTATGAAGCATAATTGTGTTATAAATATTTGTTATATAATTTACAATAAATCAAATGATACTAATTTAAAAAAAAAATTGTATATTATATCAACTATAAAAACTCATGTTTAAGAAAAATTCTGAATTGTAATTCCAATTCTAGCTCAAAATTAGTTAGTATTGTTCCCACAAATTACTGTGGAGTTAATTCTAAAATTATTAAGATTTTAGAAAATTTTAATTATTCATCGACAGATTTTAAAAATTTTAGTATTGAAATTATTGACAATATTTTAAGAAAGTTTAAAATGAAAATTAAATAAAACGACTAGAAGGTCTTTATATGATGAATGCTTAAAACATTTAATATAATGAGCAATTCAAGTAAAAACATCGAAGCTAAAAAAACAGAAGGGTCAAAATGGGTAGGATTGCCAAAATTACAAAAAAAAAAAAACGTTATAGTATGAAAATTAAGCGAAAACGTGAAGTTTGTAGAATAAAAGAACGCAATAATGATAGGATTAGAAAAAGAATAGCAAGACTTGATTATTACAAAAGAAAAGTTGATAATACAATTAATTTAAAAAATATGAGAAAACGATTAAAGGATAACGCATTTAAAGAGGCTAACAGAAAAACAGCTCGTTTAAATATGAGAAAGCGATTGAATAACCCAGCAGTAAAAAAAGCAAATATAGAAGCTGCTAAAGTTAGCATGAAAAAAAGACTAGAATTGCGAAAAGCCTATAAAAGTGCGAACAAAAGTCGAATGTTAAAGAGAAGGGTTCCTTCAGATAGTAGCTTGCAGTCAAGTCGTAGAAAGCGTTCTTGTCATATATCTTCGTATAGATTACGTGAACAGCAAAGACTAAATGCTAAAAGGCAAAAATGGGAAACGTTGTTGTCTGAGTTTAATTTAAGAAAAACACAAGGCTTATCAGAGACTTGTGTTTCTTGTCATCGTTTAAGATTACCTAGTAGCATGATAAATTGTCGAAATGAACTACTAAGACATCTTAATATAAATATTGTTCTAAATGATAACCAAAGTGTATTCGCATGTAATAGTTGTTATAATCACTTAAAAAAATCTAAAGTTCCACCATTATACACCGAAAATGGATTTTAATTGAATCATGTTCCATAGTCAGTTAAGGAGCTAAATCAAATTGAAAGACAAATGGTTTCATTGCGATTACCATTTTTGAAAGTATTTAAATGTCTTCGGGGGGAAGGTCAGCTGAAAATTCAAGGTAGTGTTGTTAACGTACCGATTGATCTGACTAAGACAACCAGTATTTTGCCACGAAGAGCGGAAAATTTGACTGCTATTAAAATAATGAAAGTCAAATTAAAAAGAAAATCCTGTTTTAAGCAACATTATTTGTATCAAAATGTTCGCCCAATGTTAGTCGTCAAAGCTCTGATGGACCTTAGAGACCAACCGTTATACAGAAGTGCAGAAATCGATGAAGAATGGTATAGTCATGTGACAAACCATATTCAGTCAATTTCAAAAAACATGGACTTATTAATCAATGAAGAATCTGATGAGGTTGTTAATGAAGAGCTTGACANATCTGATGAGGTTGTCAATGAAGAGCTTGACAATCCGGGAACTATAGACTCTATGGTTGAAAATGGAGATTATGTGTCTTTTTCTCCAGGTAAAGGTATAAGACCTTTATCTATTTTAATTGATGACCATGCTGAAGAAAAAGCATTTCCTAATTTGTTTGGTGGCCATCCTAGAAAAGTTAAAGATCCGCTAAAAAATTACTCTAAAGTAATAAGATCAGAACTTATAAATTCAGATCGGCGTTTTGCAGCAGATACGCCGAATTTGTTTTTCAAATGTGAAGTTTTTGTGTACAAACAAATTGCAAATAATGTACAAATAATTATGAGGAAAAATAAAAAAGAAAATATAACAGCTGGAGATGTTGCAAACTAAAAATCTAACAAAAATGATTGATAATGATTAAGATTATCGTTTATTACATAATGTAAAAAACTCACCTTCACATTTAGCCGCTGTGAGAAAAAACACTTTTGCAATGGTTAGGCAGTTAGGTCATCCTACTATATTTTTAACATTAAGTCCAAGTGAGTCATCATGGAGTGATTTATTAAAAATATTATATAAATTGCGCAACAAAGTTGTTACGAGAAATTATGAGACAAAGAGATGATAAAGAATTTGCTGAAGTATTAACTAAATTAGCTAGGGGAGAATTAATTAAAATGATATAGACTTTTTTATGAAACTCGTAAAACCGTTGGAAATTAGTTTTCAACCTGGAGTTATGCATCTATGGGCAACAAATAAAGAGGTGGACGATATGAATACGAGAGTATTAAATAGTTTAAATACTACTAGTTTTGTATCTGAAGCAATAGATACAACAGGGAAAAAAGTTGATATTACTGCTGCAAAGTAACTTCCAAGGCCAAAAACTTTGGATTACCTAAAACACTTATACTGAAGGTAACAGCGAAATACATGATTGTTACAAATATCTGTACAGAATACGGAATTGTTAATGGCGCTATTGGTGAACTGATGCAAATCAACCGTACAATAACTGCTAGTGGTAAAGAAGTCGCTCATAGAGTGTGGATAAAATTTGATGAACCAGAAGTAGGCTCAATTACAAGACAAAAAGTTAAAGGAAAGTTGTCCTCTCAAGGAGAAGTATCCGATGACTGGTCTCACTGGACACCTATTGAAATTACGCACTTGGAATTTCGAATTGGAAATTCAGAAAACCGGAAGGTAACTAGAACACAATTACCTTTAGTTGAGGCATTAGCATTGATTGTTCATAAATCACATGGTGCAACATATGAAAATGTTGCATACCATGTGCCTAAAAAGTATTTACTGTGTAATATGCTTTATGTAGGATGCAGTAGAGCAACATCAGCCAAGGGCTTATGTATAGACTATTTTCCATTTAATCCACCTAAACCATCTTCAAAAGTNTTATAGATTATTTTCCATTTAATTCACCTAAACCATCTTCAAAAGTCTATGCTGAAATGGCTAGACTGCGGTCTTGTGAAATAAAACCTAAATTTCCATTTTTAACATAAGACAATCTGTCGATATATTGTGTTTTACACAATATAAGATCATTAAACAAATATTTCGAACACATACTTACTGATAAAATATTATTAAAATCAAATATAGTATTTTTCCAAGAAACTGGAACAACAAAAAATGATTTTTATAACATTGAAGGACTCACAGAGATATGTAGGATCAACAAAGTGCATGACAATGGCAAAAGTGGTTCAATATGTTTCCTAAATAATAATATACGTGATATTTTCAAATCAAGTGAATCCTCAGTTATTACTCATAACAAAGATCACATGGAAATTATTTGTGTTATCCTTGATAATTACACATATGTCGGATTATATGTTTCGCCTAAATTTTCTACAAACAAAAAATGTGTGAATGCTTAAAAAATATAATTGATATTAATGGAGAAAACATCATTTTTATTGGGGATTTCAATATAAATTTCTATAAAATTCCAAATATTTTTAATAAAATTATAGAAGAAATGAAGTATAAAATACTTGTCAATGAAATTACAACAGACTATGGTACTTGTATTGACAATGTCATAACCAACACTGATTTTAATGTAATTGTTTATGAAAGTTTAGTGAGTGACCATAGACCTTTGGTTTTAGTGAACAAAGAAATACAACTTTCTTCCCGATCTAATAGCGATGAAAGGATTGANAAAAGTTTCCCGATCTAATAGCGATGAAAGGATTGATAACCATTATTTACTACCACTAAAAGAAAAATTACGACTTTCAGAGGATTTAGATAAAAACATTGATATTGCATTGCAATCAATTGTACACAGAGATAGAGATGACGCTCTTATCGTGCTTGGAGATGACGTAGAAATGATTGAAGATATTTTTAATCGTTCGATGAGTATCATCGATGACACTGATGCATTAATCGTACAAAAAAGTATTTTGAAAAATAAAATAAACGTAGATAATGTAAAAATTTCTCGTCAAATCATTGGCTTTGCTAATATGGATAATGTATCATGTTATTCCAACTCTGTTATTCAAGCTTTATATCATTGTGATACGTTTGTAAGTACTACTTATAAAGGCCAAGCTGGAGAAATGAAACAACAGCTTATTGATTATGAAAAAAATGAAGTGACCGATACGCTTGAAATAAGAAAATACGTGGATGACACTTTAAAGAACACGATTTTTCCTAGGAAGGAACAACAGGATTGTGTAGAATTTATGGAAGCTTTAATGAACTGTAACCGTTGTGTAAGTGATACCTCCTTATTTAGTTTTACTGAAAGTTGTATAAACTACTGCGATTATTGTAAAAAAAAAACTTGTAGTTCAGAGGAACGCAATCTTGTGAAACGTTTAGAATTACCTTCTAATCGAAACCACAGTATAGAACTAGAAAGTCTACTTCAATTTAATAAAAAAAAATGGACATCCATTGATGATTATTCTTGTCAAAACTGTAATCAAACAGGTGGTTTCAAAAGACGACATGAAATAATAAAAGCAAATAATTATTTGATTATACAGTTGTCATTATTCAATTCTAGTTGGATAAATGGTCAATATATAATTAGTAAAACAACAGTTCTAAAATTAAAAAATTTGTCCAAATCTCGATTTACAATAGAAGATTCTATTTATATACCGTCAGTTACAATATTTCATATAAGCGATGACACTAAATGTGGACATTACATCGTATATTTAAAAGAAAAGTCTAGATGGGTATGTTGTGATGATAAAAATGTGTCTGAAAAAAGATGGCCAAATAATGGAAAAGGGGCGTATTTAATTATTCTAAAAAAAGGATAACACATCTGTCAAAAAATTAGACAGTCTAAATAGTCCATCAAAGGAAAATAGATCTAATATATTATTGGATAATACGGACAATATATTGCAATTAGTTATATACGAAGAAGATGATTATGCACTTAAGGTGCCTGATGATGTAGAAATAATGGAAGATTTGTTCAATCGGTCATTAAGTAAAACTGATGACGATTATCAAATCCAAAAAAGTCCATTATTATATTTATATGAAACTCAAGATCATAATTTAAGAAATGATTTTTACTATAACAAATTACCAAAGAATTTGAAATACTAGAAAGGTAGAAGACCATACAAATATAGTTAAAAAAATAATATATATAGCAAAATTAAAATTAAATTAAATTGTATTCATCCATACACTTTTCAACAAATTATAGCACAATAAAGTTAAAAATGTAAAATATGAAATCGAGATTAAGGTTAAGTGTCAAATTTACAAAAACAATACCAAATGAAAAGTACATTATACATCTATTTTCCCCATTTACGTGGAATGAGAGAAATTTTTTCAATTTTTGAGGGTAATGTCTTCGATTAGATACGATTTGTGATCTTTTGACGTATCGTTGAAAAATATCGGTCCAGTGAGAGCTGAGAATAAGTGGTAACAGACAAAAAAAAAACAAAACACACCATAGCAAAACCATAACCTTCTCAGTTTCGCATCGAAGCTAAAAGTAAAAATTATCTTAATAAATATCTCTATTTTTATATTGTTATTAATTTACTTAAATTTCAGATATTTTAAAATTATATTTTAATAAATGTACGTACGATTGAAATAATTTTCATAGTTAAACAACAAACAATAATTATCGTACTGCATTTTATAACTATTGTAAATTGTATTGAATTTTATTAAAACAATTAGCATCACCATATATAACATAACGTACATTCCATCAAACATTGATTTCTTGCTAATATAAATAATCGTTAATAATATAATTAATTAATCCATATAAACGAGAAAAAAGACAATTAATCATAATAAAAGTATTAATAACACAAATTACTAAAAAAAAATGGCTATGTGTAAAAAAAGTCATTTGTTTCCATGACGTTGTAACTTTGAACAATCTAGAATACTTTACTATTATAACATTAACAATTAGCCAGTAGTTATATTATAAAAAAAATTTTTTAAGTGAAATAGAATTACTAACGTATAATGAGATATAATTTATCAATTTTATATTGCATTTTTGAAAGAAAAAAAGTTATCCATTAAAAAAAATAATAATTTTAACAACTATAATAAAAAAATTCATATTATAATATTTGATACGTATCAGATTTTGGATAATGTCACAAAAATTAATCACCAAGTTCCTAATTATTTAGCAAAGTCCAGACTTTTTTATTAAAACATTACTGAAAGGAAAATATTTAGTTGTACTTCATTGAATTTTCCAAATATTTTTAATTAAAAAATAATAATAACTTTTAATACAATTTAATCATTACCATAAAAATTGATTTCTGACATTATTTAGACCTTTCTAATGAAGTATTATTGTTTGCTAATCTCTACTATTAGTACTAATATGCAAAATAAATAATAACACAAAAATTAGTGAGTTTAACAAATAAAATAAAATGAAACAATTCATGATAAATAAACAGTTTTAATTTTTTTAACTCAAAATAAATATCTACTTTAAGTTTCAAAAAAAATATTCAACTAATATATTTTTAGATAAATAAAATGTTATTATTTATAAGACCAAATATTTGTATGGAAAATGTATAATTATTAAAAAATAAAAATTACCTTGATACATTTCTATGTTGTTAGTCATTATTGAAATTTTTTATATTTCAAATTAATATTTTAATAAATATATTTACAACTAGCATGAGTCTGAAAGCTAAACTGCAAGTAATGTTCATCGTACTGCATTGTGTTATTATTGAAAATTGTATTCGATTTCCAAAAAAATTGCATCACCGTATATACTAAGAAAATGTCTATGTGTATTTGCTTCCATGGAGTTTAAATTCCTTACCCTAAATATCCAACTAAGCAAACATGAATCAAAGCTTAAAGAAGCACGACCAAGCTTGAAACAAAAGCAAACCCATTACTCAACAATTTTTCTCAAAACGACTTTTTAGTAAGAGAAGCAGTACGCATCGACACTACTCAATGAGACACTCAAGAAGCTCAAATACCAGGTGCTGAGGAAGTGAAACAGCAGTCACTAGATCTACTCCAACCACCAAAGTACCGGGCACTCCACCATGTTCCAGCGAATCCCAAGCTAAACCCCCGGTTCCAAATGTTCCTACTCATCCAATCTCGAACAATGTTCTTGCGAATCTTGATAAGCGGAGAAGAGTAATAAAATCCATATAGTCAATAGTCAAATCCTCAGGTCTCAAGTTAGAAGAAATTTTTTCCACAACAGAACTCGCTGATCCAAATTCAATTCGTGTATATCATTCAAGTCCTAATGACATCTTTGGGACACAAGGCATTGTCACTTATTCTTTGAATTATCAATAATATTTCACTATTATAACATCTATTACATTAATAGTAAGTATTATTTAAATATTATTATTAAGTTGATCAATTAATTTTCTAGTTACACACTTGTAATCGCTGTAAATATCGATGGTAAAAAATTAGAATTTGTCAAAAGAAACGCAGAGATTTATGGAGTTTAAGACAAAATTACATTAATACAGAGATTTTTTCGAGATTGTAGAAACGTTAAAAAAATATAAGCCATAGGTTATAGTGGCGTCTCCCTAAGGAGTGTCTCTTCATATAAGGAACACGAAGTTTACAGTCTTAAAAAATATATGTGTAACGACTACGAAGGAGGTGGTAAAAAACTCTTTGACCTGTTGAAAAGTATTGCTCCCAACGTAGCACTGCACATACCTAAACTACAGGTCGAAAAGAGGTAAATTAATTTAATTTCTATTTATAATTACAATTGTAGTTAATGTCAATCAATTAGTTTTCTAGTTGATACAATTTAGAAAATTATTCGACCTCGACACTTTGACATTCAACACAAATATATCGACGAAAGACACGATTCTATTACTATGTATTTCGGCCAA